TTGCAGGTTCTGGCCGTCACAATGATGGATTACTTCAAAAAGTCAAAAAACTTTAAATTCATTGGAAGCCACGAAGCCACAAAGCCACGAAGCCACGAATGAGTGAATGTTTCTTGTGCTTGGAGAGTCCTGGGACAGCATCGAAGAGTTGGACCAAGGTTCTGTGGTGCTGCCACGTGCAGAGACTGAGAGCGGTGGCGAAAATATCAGGGGTCAGGCGCTTGGACAAAGTTGCCAGCGCCACAGCGTTTGCCAATGTGAACCAAGATGGTAGGCGAGGATGCTGGACTATTTGAAAACAACATGTTTGCAGAATCTGTGGGTTTTGAACCAGGATGATCTGTAAAAATAAGGATGATAGTTCAGCCAGAAGTATCTAGGATTATCTATAGTATCTATTGTCCAAGGAAGCAACTTCGCAATGTGTACATAGACGGCAACCGCCAAAGCTTGCGCCGGGTCGCGCAGCGAGATGGACACTTTTCGCTGCAAGGTCTTCCAGCAAATTCGCATGCGCTAGTTTCTTGAGCTCCTTTGAACACCAGGAAAACCATGCAAAACTTTTTGAATTTATGCTACGCTACAGATACCATTCTTGTCCAAGCTTTGTTTTGCCAAGTGGATAATGTCACTGGAACTGTGACGTGTTCGTTGGAAACCTTGAGCGTTTCATGTCACTGCGCCAACAGCGGTGGAGGGGATTGGTTCGGACAGTACAGACCCAAGCAATGAAGTGGGGAGCCCTTCAAGAGCGGACAAACTTCAGGATGCAAACACACACACACACATTTTTAAATCGAATCAAGGTCACACATCTTGTTTGCATGCCTGGAATCAGTCCATCCCTTCATGAAGACCTACATGGTTAGCTTTGTTGGGTTCCCTCGGGTTGGAAAACTGAAAGACTTGTGTACACTACAAACTGTCATGGCGGTGCTGCCTGGCTGTAACCGCGCACGCCTAACATGAGCTGCAGCCACGGATAGCTGCGGAGAAAGGTGCCCTTGTGGGACAAGAGAAATGGAGCAGTCACTGGGCCTTGGTTCAGGGCCACCATGATGCATTCTTTTGGGGTGTGTGGCACCCCGACCTAGCGGCATGCGGCACATTGCGGCATAGCCTCTAGGCTATTTTTGAGACACTTGTATCGGTCAGGGGCAGATTCTGACCGTGTCAGCTTGTTCTTTGCTTGACGCGCAGTCGTTTCACTTTTGGAATGCTTCGCTCGTGTTTGGCTCAAGATAGCTCGGCACCCGCAGAGTCTCAGGCTGGAGGCTCGAGACTCGCAGTGCGAGCAGTAGCCGCCAGGGGTCAATTTTTTTTTGGGGGCTTGGGGATTTCAAAATCCAGCGGCTGAATTAGTCATTTTACAATCATGTTCCAGGCAATTTCAGGCATATTCCCTTTGGTTCCCCTCGTCTTTCTTCCCAAAATTAGTTGTGGCTTGGGGCCTGTGCGGCTTGACTTTTCGGCCATGCCATTCTTATCTCTGGCGTCCAAGAAAGCCAGCCGCTCGATGCCCCAGAGTCAAAAGGTTCGTGGTGTGACTGTGGAGATACAGAGCATCTTGAGGATGGACGACATCCTTCTCAGCTCACTTTTTGGAGCTACAATGTTTCAAGGCACCATCAGAATCGCTCCAAAAGGTTTTGGTTGTTTCTTGTGCTCTTAAACTTGGCCGAGCCTTTGCTCAGGTGGACTGGTGATCCATAGAATGGTGAAACCATCCTGTGGAGACCAGCCACCTTCAGATGACGATGAGGTGCATCCAGAGCTCCTTGGAACCAAGCGGGGGATGGGATCAATATTTTGCTGGTTTTTGGCTCATGGAGTGTGGTGGGTGTGTGCATGATTGCACATAATATTGTGCATGTCACACACTGGAAACCTGTCAGCCCAAAGAAACTGCAGGTATAAAATGGTCCAATCAATGTTTGGAGGGATACTGAACTCCGATACCGACCTCTCTCCCGAATCCACTTGAAGGGTCACATTATGTGACAAACTAGTGGTTTCCTTGGATACTGTGTAGCTGCGCTCCGCATTTCTGGACTGCAAAGTGTGAGACGCCTGAGATGCCGTAAAGGTTTTGAGGTATGGCATATTACCTGCCCGGTATTGGACTACAAAGTGACTATATGATTCAACAATTGCGTTCCACCAATGGAAGCTTTGGCTTGGAGAACACAACCTTTCAATCTAACGCTGGTACATGGCCAGATACCCTGCTAGAGCTGCGAGACAAAAGCAATCCAATCAGCAATGCTGAAACGCGGCCGTCAGTATGGAATTGAGGTCAGACAGGAGTACAAGTGTCGCATCAGCTTCTCATCCATCTTTGACGTCCTTGGAAGTGCCGGGCCCTAAGCCACACCGCTATACTTAGCATCGATCCTCACAATGATCCATGCTGTCACATGCTGTCAATCAATTCTGGCGATTCGCATTTGGCGTAGCAACAAACCAACTACGGTAGATACCTCATGTCATTGACCTTCAACCAGGGTTGGGATGCCAGGTCTAGGTTTGGCGCTGCAGATTTGGGGCAGGCACACACACACACACATTCATGGGACATGTGCCGCGGCAATGGCAGAATCCTTTGGACTATGGTTTCACAAACCTTGATGTAAACCGGACGGACGCATGTCACTTTGGCAAATTCTGAGCATCATTGGTGCACACAGCACGCTACATTGTACGTGCAGCAATAACAAACTAAGCCTCGTCGTATCTGACAAAGGACACTAGATCTAATTGGAAGATTGGTTGGCAGTGACACAATGAAGAGGTACTTGACATGTCAGCTTGAATGTGGGTGTCTTGGCGCTCCTGGCCAGGGAGTGTGGTGGATATGCCTGCCAAACGAGGCTGGGGTGTCGACATCACATATACGAGGATTTGTGCAGAACTTGTGCGGAAGGGATGATAGAACCTTCTTGCAGTAGGCTTTTGAGATCCTTTGAACAGAGACAATACTACAGAGCTGGGTCGGTAGATCTTTGTGCCATAGGCTGCAGATCCAACAGCTATAGAGTCGTAGGGACCCAAACCATGGTGTGGTGGTTGTCCAACAGGAGGGAATCCAAAGTGTTGTATGGGTTTTCAAAAAAGCTACTTGACACTTGACAGCATCCACAGTGCTATTGGCACGCCAGCCATGTGAACCACACCTGCTAGTCTGGAATTGCGTCAGCAAGTTCTGTTTGCTTATGTTTGCCAGCATTGTAAACGATAGCACTGATGCTGCTACTTGTGCCATAGTTGTTTAGTCTTGAGATACGGGCCCCATTTTCTCCATGTTGCAGCTCAATGTAAAATGACAGCAGCGGTCAGTGCATGCGCCTCTGCTTCTAAGGTCCATGTTGCCCGAAACGGTGGCATCCAACACACAGGTACGCAGCCCAAAATGCGAACAATTCAAGTCTCGGGAAAAACGGCAAAACAGAGACCTGTTGGTATCAAACTTTCAGCTTTATCCCCCAAGGATGCAATGGAAGCTTTGAAGCAATGCGCCAGGAACTCAGTGTTATTCAGAAGGTCAGCAGCAAATTGCAATTTGTTTCTTTGAATGAATCAGGATGACATATGCAAGAGCCAACGGGGAACTTCTGCACATCAAGTGGATACTTGCAATTTACAAGTCATATTAGTTTTGCAATGTTTTGCAGCAAATGTGTTGGTTCTTTGAGGCAGAAAAAGGAAGTGGAGAGAGCCGCAATGCGTCTCTATATGCCATGTATCCAGAGGCATGGTCGTGTGATGATGCACTGTCGTCGATGGTTTTTCCTTTTGGATCCTTCACTCACAATGGCGTTTGCTGTGGAACCATGGTTTTCGGTCTTGTGCTGCATGAATGAATGGTGCGTTGTGGTTTTGCCAGGCAAGAGTCTGGTTTTGGTTAGGTCAGATACCTTGCAGATACCTTGCATTATTCGGAGTCTGGCGTTGAGTGCCCTTTTTTGGGGCAATAGTCGTCACCACAAGGCAGTCAGTGATCCTTCATTGAAGAAACTCTTTCATCTTGAGGAGCACCACAGTTGAGTTTTTCTGTCGAACCTGCCAGGAGATGGAGGATTTGGGAAAACTGAAGTGGGATGGTCGCCTGGCTGCAACCGTGTCACCTTTCGACACTGACCTTTACCATGTCCAAAGTGTGATCCTGGGTGGTGACTTGTTCATGTTGCTCCGGAGAATCACCAGCCCGGCAGCAGGAGATGGCCACTATGTTCTAGAACCATTCCCCGGGGACCACCCGCCGACACTTGGTCAGGCCGATGTCCAGCTTGACAGAGCAATTTTGACAGCTGCTTTGCGATGAATCGATTACAATCACAACATCTTGCAGATCGAATGCATGACCATATCGTGTTATTGTATTAATATTGTATTATGATTCTATGATATATTATTCAATGATAATGTATTACATATTATGAATATGATTCAATATCATAATGTCCTCCAAGACTTGGTGGCAATGTGCTCTTGACCGGCACTGACCGTGCAGATTATCTCCTGTTTGAAGATGATTGATGTTGCGCTGTTGCAATCCAAAACCGTCCTGCTTGTCACTTCGCAGAAGAGGCTAGCGGGTAGCCAGGATGATCCTGCTTCAAGCATTCAGAGGGAAGGGGTTTGTAACACAGATCACACCTTTTTTAGGAAAAGGGAAGAGTTGCAGAATCAAACCTAACAGCGACCAGGTCAAACACTGTCAAAGTGTTACTGCAATGACCTTTTGGAAGTAATGCTGCCCTCCTGCCACCACTGGAAAGGCATCCAGAAATCGTTTAGTTGCTTGAAATTGCCGGGATTTTCTGTATGTCTGTCATGTCATTTGATGCCGGGATTTTTGGACCCTGCCTTTCCGCATTGAAGGCGGGCAGTGACTGCCACGCTGGCTGGAGCCCTGCTTGTGCTTGCACGAGGCTTCTCCCCTGAGGCTGGGAAGAACCTCACACAAGCCTTGATCTTCAATTTGTCGATACCAGTCCGGCAATGAACGATGAAGCAACCCTTGTGCGTTGAGGACGCCTGGGAGCACATTCTTCCAGTCTACGGCACCCCCAGCAAGGCCAGGTTGAGCTCTGCGCTTGATCTTCTCTGTTCATGGAAAATATGTTTCGGCTTTGATGATTGAATAAGATCCACTGGGTGTCAGAAGTGTGCAAATGAAGTGCAGGTGTCCTGGGATCGATTCCCTCCGCCTTTCTCACATTCAGGCTGGGAGAGCCAAGTCCAAAAAGACTTTGTTTGTGTAAGTATAATTGTGTCTGTTTAAACGCGTCGTTCAGAAATCTTGGTACTTTGAGACACCTCTAGCCCTCCACAGCTGAGGATTCAATCAAAAAGGCCTTTTAAGTGTGTTGCACTATATGAATTATAGTATGTTAGCGAATGAACAATTCACTCAAATCTTACCATAGATGCCCACTGCATCCCACTGCTATGTTTTGAAAAAGTGCTAGCGTGGCTCCAATGTAGTGGCGACTCAGCTGGCAGAGCTTGCGTGACTCTCCACAGGTGAGACGGGAGCCAGCTCCTTGACAGTGATTGATTGCCTCCAAGGCCCGCAAAATGTTTGCTTGATTGACTCTTCTCTTCACTTGTATAACTTCTGTATAATTGATATCTGGTCATTTCTCTGTGACTTCCTGACCAAATCAAACTCTTGCTTGTTGTGCCTTCCGTGTCAGGATGAGCGACTGTGAGCCAATTTTCCGTTTCTATCACATTTTTGCATGTGCAAAGAGTGCGCAGTTTGCTTTGCAATGGCAACCGGTTCCAGCTTTTTTGGGCTGAACAGTTTTTCCCATACGTGGAGGCCTAGCCGTTGCTAGGGAGAAGAATTGGTTGGAGGAGCTGCTACTACTCTTTCGGGAACTTGCGCAGACCGGGTTGATTGTACATACAAGACTGCTTTGCTACACTCAGCATTCAGCAGGATGTCAAGGCTTGAACCCTCCAGACACCAGACACACATCACAGCTCAATTTTAAAAGAACTCATGACAAGTCTAGAGCACCAATAGCTTACAACATCTTACAACCATCCCTTTGATTTGATCCATTACTGTAGCATCCATTAGCATCAATACCTTGTGATAGTTTGTGATGCTATGATGTTTGTTACGAAAGCTAGCCTGTGCTAGCTGAAGTTGCTCTTGCTGGCACCAGGACCGTTGGAAACCCTGAGACTTTCAGGTTACACCCCCCTCCCCTCCCCTGGCCTGCGTTCAAGTACAGGGACTTCACCTCAATAATTCATTTTCAGCATTTCATCGTCAACATCTGCATCAGCATCATCAGGTGGTTTTGGGGCAGGTACAGGTTTCTACGTCTTTATCTTCGCCTTCTTCATTTTCATCTTTCTTAGGAGCATTGTCATCATCATTGTTGTCGTCGTCATCATCAGCATTATCGTCAAATTCCTTCGTATCCACCATCGTCATCAGTTCATCAGTTTCTTCTTGCAGCTGAGCAGTCTCCGGTACAACATTAGTAACGACCTGCTAGCTTTCGTACTGTACCCCCGGCCTCAAGTGATGTTGCCTCGTCGGCCTTCTCCTATCGATAGGACTACCGTGTCTTCGACGTGGCTGCGTGGAAGTTCTTCCGTGAGAAGTTCGATGCCTCGTGGCTGGTGCCAGGTACGGCACCCAGCGGGGTACCCGGGGCAAGGCGGCTGTCGTTTTTTTTTTTTGCTTTTTTGGCCGTGGACGCTGTGGCCGAGGCGAGATCCTCGCCATGGCCAATCCATGGGGAACTTCTCAGAATCCACGCTTCCCAGGGCTCTTGGGCCGAGGAGCAAATTGGCCGTTTCATGGTAAGACTTTGGTGGAAAATGGCACACAAGAACACTGAAAAGGTGCTTCTCGGGTTCTAGACCTGGGGAAAACGGTGATTCGTTCATTCTGTTCCCTTGCAAATCGTTGCAAATCGTATGTGATCATATAAAGTAGGGTGTTTTCCTCTTTTTCATTGCCAGTAGTGGCAAACGAGTTCTACCTATCTCAAATATCATATCTGACAGACTCCCACAATTGCAGCATGTAGGACCTAAATTTGTGTCGCAACCTTCAACCACCAGCCTGCACACACCTCAGTGGTTGCAAATGATTCAGAGAGTGGCTGCCCCGAAATCAGACCAAGTGGCATTTCTGATTGGAGGACGTACCAAAATCATTCCAAAATCGCTAAAACAGGTTGCCGTTTGAAGGAACTTTTCAAAGTGCGAGGTCTAGCTTGGTGAGGGACCCTTCAGGGTCGTCTCAAGGCCCAGGGGGTGAAGGGTAGCCTATTTAGATCTAGGCTTGTCATGATTTGTGGGACTCAACCGCCTCTGTAAAATCACCAGATTCAATGTTCATGGAGAGAATCTGAGAAAATGAGGGAACTTTCCACCTGAAATTTGAAGACATATCCAGGTGGCCTGAGCCTGGAGCATTTCCATTCGATGCCTGAGCTCAATCTCCAGGTGCTGTGGGGAAGGGTAGGAGCACGGGAAGTGGGTCTCAGTTGGGAATAAGATGGAATAAGCTACTGTAATCTACTGTAAATCTTTCTTTCTTACCACATTGAGAGCCTTAGGCCTGTGCGATAGTGATGTTGTCTGTCAGAACTTTGCATCGTTTCGAATCTCCCCATGGGATTTCGAGGAGCTGGCCAAGGGAATCATCAATGATGATGATTCCGCAGGCGGGAAACTCCTCTGGCTGGCATTGGGCGGACAGTTGCCGCCTTTTTTTGTTTGTTTTGTGATGGCTCCCTGGAAAGTCTTCTTACAACTTGGTCCTTTCGATGAGCAGTTGGACCGTCTCAGAGTTCAGGTGGAACTTCCTGATGTGTTGTGTTTGGAATGATTATGGAATTTTAGATCCTATGATCCTATTGACATTCCTGACACCAGGAGCTGATTCAGAGATTTGCGATCCGGCACAAGCCAAGAAGGCAGCTGCAGTCGCAGGACGGATCCCAAGCTGCCTCACCCTTTTCACCGAGAAAGGTGATAATTTCACAAAGGTCTGTGAGTCTATGATCTTGAATCTTGAATTTAGTCTTGTAAATTGGACGTAGTAATGCGTATGAAAGGATGGCCCAAAACTTTTGATTGATGACACCTTGCGGAGAGCAGCTCTGCGAATTGAGACTTTCTCATTCACACCAACGAGCACAGATGACGAATAAAAGTTTGCAGCCATGACTTCAGCCCTGCTGCAGGATCTTGGAAAGTGCCTTTCTCAAGGCCTGGGCAGAGAACAGGAATTCTCGAGTAGCTGCCTACAACCAGAAGCATCCAAATGTGACTCCACATGATGGCGACAATAGATACTTGAATAAATTTGGCCTAACCGGCTTGGTTGTGCCGGATTCCTGTGAGATCCTGTGAGGTCTGAAGAATATGCTCGCCTGAATCAAGACTCTTTTGTCTCTCTGCTGTTGCGCAATCATACTCACGAGGTTGCCAGGTGGGGCTGCAGAGAATGATGGGATTGTGACGAATGCTTCTGTGATGTGGTCGGAGTTGAGCAAACTTGGGGAGCTGTTTGATTGGATCTTGTTACTTGTTTTTCTTCGGTTCAAAACAAATATAGTGTTGATGCTCTGGGTGTGCTTTGTGCTTTTTGCGCCACAAAAGTACCACCATCCTCCAATCACCCTAAGCTGTAAGCAATCTGCCCTTGATGCTGTGGGGGAGCGCTGTTGTTAAAATCTGTCAGGTTGAACTACGATTTTGAGTGTCCAGAGCAGAAGGGATACGAGAAGGCTTCATCAAAGTGCGTGGATGTTGGGTCGCAGGGACCGGGATGTTTGGCGGAATGAGAAACTGAAGCAGGTCAGACATTTTGTTCACTGCTGGATATGCCGAACTTTTGAGGTATTAGGTGGTGAATAGGGAGTCTAGAAGCAAGTTGCTGAGTCACTTAGTTGCTTGTCAGGGACTGCACATGATTGCACCCCATACCTGATGCTGTTTGAAAGGAACAAACAGCGCCCGCCAACGAAAGCATGGACAACTGGACAAGATAAGTGCAGGGATTGCTGACAGTCACCATGAAAACTCATCTAAAGTCCGTGAAGTTGGATCGGACCTTGGAACCGTTGCCAGGCTTTCACGGAGAATGGAATCCGAGTGAAGAAGATCCCCTTTACCGATGGCAGCATCCCTGGAAAGGCACTGCTGAGCTTGACTTTAACAGTTTCGGCTGGCACCTGGTGCCACCGCAAAGTGAACAACTAAGTTGATATATAATGTTGATATATTCTTGTATTCATTGTATTATATATTGTATTCTATTTTTTTCTCTTCTTTTCTAAGACGCAATGTCATAATATCATTAGTATTCATACAGACATAACAGCTTGTGCAGCAGGTTCTTTGCGGCTGAAACTGCCAACTTTATCCAACTTTGACATGATTTCTTTTGTCTGCAAATTGGAGGGCCATGTTCCCCCCAGGTTTCTTGGAATTCATGTCCCACTGACCTCTCTGAAGTGTGTTATATTGCCATTCAGATTGATGTCTCTCCGATTTGATGCTTGGTGGCCCATGTTCTGGTTGCTTTGGAAACAGGATGTGGTCAAAGAGTTCTTGAAGTCAAGTCGCTTCCTTGCAGGGAAGAGAGGAAGCATGGGCCTTCCTAATCAGTAACTATTTCATTTTGCCCATTGCTCGATGCTTACACCATACTGATATAAACTACTTCTATTTCTCACAGTTTTGGTGCATACAGTTCCACAGCATTTTTTCAAAAAGAGAAGGATGAGACTGAAATTGATCCGCTGAATCTTTCGTACTTGAGTTGGCCTTGCCAGCTGTTTCGAGAGAAGCCTTTTGAGCGGCTCAGGTGGCAACGCCATCAAACAGAACCGCACCATCGCCCTTCATTGCCAAGGGGGAATGGGCAGGACTGTGAAGTTGACCACTGCAGGGGATGGACCTTGCAACTTGAAGTCTGCACACAGCTACTGCAGTATGTACTGGAAGCAACACCGCCTTTCATTGTCAGGGGGGCAAATTCCCTCGTACACTCCGAAAGCAGTGCCAGTGCTAGGAATTGATGTTTCAAACACGTTGCTTTCCCTCCAGTCAGATGTGTGTTGATCCCACTTGCTAGGGTTTAGTCGAAGCAGTCAGCACCGTCCATTTTTCAGAACTTTGTTTGGGGCGGACGTGGGGCGGACGTGTTTGCCACTCCTGGCGGCAACCAGGACTGGTGTGATGGCAGGCGAAGCGGCCACGCCCCCTTGTCGTTGTGGGTTCGGTCAAATCACCGTCCAAACCAACAGGAATCACAGCATCGACAGGGGGGCTGAGCAACTGCCAGCACCAATCAGGAGACCAATCAGGTTGCATCTAGGAAGATCATTTCGACCAAGAGACTACACCTAGCGATCGAGCCTGTCGCACGCCATATCAATGTTCAGCGACACGCATGAACCCACTTAAAACATTTTAAAACAAGAAGATCCTTTCATATTGGTACTAAAAGCATAACTTTCTGGCAGGTGCTCATGCAGCTGTACATCATCAAGTGGATGGGTTTCTCGCCTTTGCTGTGCGGGATTGGGCGAGCAATGGAACCAGCAATCATCAGGTGGTGCCTCCTGTATAGCTACTTGAGCCATCAATGAGAATTTCTTGATTCCAAGCCATTCCAAGCCAACTGTTCTAGCATTGAGACTTGTTTGAAGATCTCGGAGACGAGGCGTTTGTTTTCTCGGTCTGAACAGCTGGCAGTTCCCAGCGGCTGTGCTAGGAAAGCTTTTCATGGTTGGGTACGCATTTGTCGGCCTGGGACTGTTCAGACGGTTGTGCAAGAGGAGACATGGGAAGCGGTGGTTCTCGTGGTGATGTGAATCATGTGCGTGACTTGGATTGTCAACGACAGTAATTATATTTTCCATCAGTGTCAGTCTTAAATATCTTAAATTGAATCAAGGATTTCATTGGCAGTGGTGTATGAACAATCACTCTTCCCAGACTGGAAATTGCATCCAAAACAAATCTTGCAGCTTATCACACTTGCAAACATTTGAATGAGTGGGACGACCTGTGGGTGGGATTCTTGCTTGCTACATTGCTACTTTTACTGCGAAAGGAATTTCTCCGAAAGATGGAACCCAATGGAGTTTCTCGAGTTGCTGGACTGCAGATGACTGCAGTACATTTGCCATACACAGCATTGAATTCCATGAAATTCCTAGGTCTCAGTTTTTTGCAACAGACTAAATTCAGTGTCAACTTGGTTGACCATGATCCTTCTGCAACTGTGCCTGCTAAGTCCTCCAGTGTTAAAAACCTCATGGAGAAGATGCGCACGAGGTGGGGAATCAATGGCATGGGCTGTTGCAACATTTTTTTTGTTTTAAACGTACACTTGTCTTCAACTGTATACAATTATATATATATATATTATATATATTATATATTATATATATATATTATATTATATATATTATATATATATATATCAATTACAATATAAATATATGATACATATTATGACATGTTATGAGATCCTTGTTTTGGACACGCTTGGATGTTTGAAAGTTGTTTGAAGTTGGTTATCCCTGAGGTTTTCCAGCGTTTGATCATTTGATCCAAGACGGAGCCTGCCAGCTGTGGAGCAGCGGGTAGAGTCGAAAGGCGTGAGACATCTGGCTACGCACATCAAGCTGTGCACCACTGTCACCGGTTCCAAGAGGTTTGCCTCAGGCTGCCGATAATTTCAATAGTTATGTTTCGTGCCACTGAGGTTCTGAGAAACAAGGCGACACATTCCTTGATCCATGATACCGGAGAAAATAATATTAATAGACAAGGACTTGAGGGTCCCGAATGACACAATATCATCAGAGTGTCTTATCATCCATTTGCAACAGGTAAACCACACTTCACATCAGAATGGGCATCGAACATGTTCAAAAATCGGCCTGAGAATGAGCCCCTATCATGCTGAACCTCATCCAGCCACAGATGACATACCGCTTTGTTTCGAGACTCCTCTCTGGCACTGACGTTCGAGTCAGCCATTTTGTAACCAACTGTCACTCCATCCATAGTCTTGAGCTGCATTGGCTACCTAGCTGTACCTGGCTGCCCAGTGCTTCACCAGCGCACATATTTTGAGAAGCTTGGGGCAGCGAGGTATTTCTATTTCTGAAAATGCATTAGTGGAAAGCCAGCACTAAATCAAGAAGAGCTAGACAGAAGGGTGATGGATCAGTTTTTCCAATTCTATGCGCACAATGTGTATTTGATTGAGTGTATTGATGTAGACAATGCAAATTTGACATCCCAATCAATTTGTACTTTGGAGCTTTCATTGTTAACATGCTGAAACCGAAACCCAATTGAAGTTATCTCTGGCAGCGCTGTGTGCTGCTTTCCACTTGTCTAGTGCCAAGGGCCGAAGTGCTATGAAGTGCTGCTGGGGATTGTGTGCCATTATGCCATTCCCAGCAAATTCGAGAGTCGTCAGTAACTGAACAAGTCTTTGACAGTATTCGATTTCTGATATTTCTGTTGGACTATCGCATGGTAGCACAGGTTTTCGCCATGGACTTGTCTACGGGATCTACACAGCCATGAGTGTGTAGTATGTGCTGTATGCAATTGTATGCAGTTTAATTCCCGGATTCTTTGTATTCATCCTTCAATCACTGCAAGCATGACTTTATCATTTCTATTTTTAAATGGGCCTCCATGATAAGTTGATCGGCCCATTCCTCCATGCGCAAGTTTCAAGAGATTATTTGGTACAGCACGAAAAGGAACATGTTTCACTCAATTTACAGATATTTACAGTGCGTTGAAATGAGCCAGAAGTAGTGAACCCCTGAATGAGCTAATTATTGCTGATGACACTATTTGGTCGCGATCTTTGCCACAGGGCGCAGCAGTTGTGACCGAATTTTTACCTATCTATACAGAATTCGGTCCACTGTTTCCAGGCGGAAGTGCTGCTGTAGCTTCTTGTCAGCTGCCTTTGTGGATGTGTTGCAAAGCCTGGAACCAGGGGTCCAGAATTGGCACCCAGTAATCGTGATGTCTCTCGGTGAAGAGAATCGCTTCAGCTTCGTCTTTCACCGTGCAGGCTCTGGCTGGTTCTCCGACGAGGTCACAACCATAGCAACCGACAGCCACAGAACCCACAGAATACGGAACACAACAAACAATGGAACCAGCACCAGCCTGGAGCTGCCTTTATTTTTGGACAAGCAGCTTCTGACCTTTTTAGCTGCGCTGTAGGTCCGATGTAGGTAAACCCAAAACCCAGATGTCTAGCGGGGTCCAGCGGGTCCGATTGAGATCTTGGTTCATGGGCTTATTTATGGCATTGCCAAAGCCTTGGGAGCTCAGCATCGCACAGCAAGATCTATGGCACATCAATTTTCTACTCCAAAGGCCCCTTTTGGCGTTGCAAAGAGCGAAAGTCGTCTACACATCTGCGAGTGCTTGGAAACAAGAGCAAATGCTGCATTTGCGCAAGTCTTTAATGGTGGGGCTGGGCACAAAAAAGGCCAAGATTAGGAGTTTGCACAATAGCCTTTGTATATGCCATGACATGCGTATATCTTGGGGTGCTGAAGCATCAATGTCAAAATTGATATGCAAACGTGCTGCGGGCAAGCTGCGTAATTCATGAGAGTAGGAGTCATGATAAGTCAGTGGGATTCCAATGATGCTTTGCTCCATCAACGTCAGAGGGCTGACTTTCTTCCTGAACAAGCCGGGCCTTCGTTTGACAGGATCTGACCTACCTGCTGTGCTTGTAAATGAAAGTGTCAAGGATGGAGTGGGTGGAAGACTACATTCATATCATTCATTGGTTGAAACGATCATACCCAACCCCTTTCCAAGCGTCTTGTTTGACAAAACTGACAACAATAGAATGCTCAACACACAACACCCAACGATGGCTGCCCTGCGGGAGCCCATGGCGCAGCCTATGCCGCAGCCTATGGGGGAGCAAATGGCAGCTTGTGGCGATCGACCAATGATGCTTCCTGGCTACATGCAGTTTGCTTGTCGTAAGTGCTGTTTGGATGGTCAACGCTCTTCCTCTTTGAAGCCCAAACATCCTAGTTCATTGGCATCCGAACATGAGGCTTGATTCTGCACGGAGCAATGCGTTGTCGAATTCCGAATACGTTGGTGCGGGTGATCCATGTGAGGCCCTCATTGCTGGCGCCCAAAGCTTTGGCGCCGCCTATGGGCCTCGTGGGAATCCTCAGAACTCTGTTGGAACTTGGCAGACCTTGCTGGGTTCTCTTCAAGATGACACTGCTTCTGGAATTCTGAGGCAGGAGAAGTTCTTTCACTTGCCATCTCTTTCGACTTGCATGGATTGTCATTTTAGGGGGTTCATGATGTTTGATGTTGGCGTTTTTATCTGACTTTCCTCAGCACGTGTGAGACAACTGCAATCACAGGACGGACACTTTGCTAGTCATCCCCACAACACTCCTTCCATCTTCTCCCTACTACACCCAATAAAGTTGTGAGAACTTGCGACCTGCAGTGTTCGTTCTGAGATTCAACCAGAGCCTTTGCGAACCTACTTGGAACCGCCCATGGTGGGAGGCCGGGACGGGACGGATAGCATCGGATAGCAGGATGGGTGCAGAAATAGCAAGTTAGACGAATCTCCTGCTTTGGGAGCTGTGAATCGGAAAAGAAATGGCGAGTGAAGTGGAATTGGTCAGGAAGTTGTTCTTGCGCTAAGATTTCGAGATGCTTACTTACAGTTACTGGGATGTCTGTGTGAATCCGATCGCGTTGATGTTTAGATGGAAAGGCGACTCTCTTGGTGGAAGCCATCAATCGGAGGCAGCTCAAATGGGAGTACTCAACTCGGAATTTTTGGAGGCCTCAAAAAAGCCGTCATTTGGCTATTTGTCAATTAAAAGGATTCAGACCATAGCACAATGGGAGATTTTATGAAATATCAAAAGATATCATATTTCTTGGTCAACCTGCTCACTTTGCTGACCTGTACCAAGGCATGGCCAGGCTTCCAGATACCGTGCAAGATCCCAGATTGTCGCCTGGGTTTGAAGCCAAAACATCATAAAACATCCATAAACATCCTAGTTCATTGGCATCCGAACATGAGGCTTGATTCTGCACGGAGCAATGCGTTGTCGAATTCCGAATACGTTGGTGCGGGTGATCCATGTGAGGCCCTCATTGCTGGCGCCCAAAGCTTTGGCGCCGCCTATGGGCCTCGTGGGAATCCTCAGAACTCTGTTGGAACTTGGCAGACCTTGCTGGGTTCTCTTCAAGATGACACTGCTTTTGGAATTCTGAGGCAGGAGAAGTTCTTTCACTTGCCATCTCTTTCGACTTGCATGGATTGTCATTTTAGGGGGTTCATGATGTTTGATGTCCTGTGTAGCTCAGGTATTTTCCTTAGCACATGAGATAATTGCAATGAGACGATGGACGCTTCGCAAGTCATTTTCACATCGCTCCTTTCATCTTACCACTGCTCCCAGTAAAGTGAGACCCTGCGACGTTTGTTGTTGGCTCCGAGATTCAACCAGAGCCTTTGCGAACCTACTTGGAACCGCCCATGGTGGGAGGTGGTCATGGGAATAGCAGGGGGAGCATTGAAAATGCCGGCGAAGAGCGGAGTGGAATCGGCCCCTCAATTGCTCTAGGGCGAGTCGTCTAGGAAAGTGTATCAGGACAGGGGCATGAAAAGGGCTTGACTTTGTTTTGGTCTTACAATCTCTGCACCCTTTCCTTCCGGTGGTGTTCGCACAGGTCACTCCCTTGGAGGGAGCCATCAAGCAGAGGCAGCTCCAGTCGGAGCACTCAATTTGCGGTTTAGCCGCGGATGAAATGAATGCGTAGAATATGTTGGGAGGGTTTGTTAGAAGGATTTTGAACAGACAAGTGTTGAGACAAAATTCGCTCGTAGAAACATCCACAAATTTTGGCACCTCTCATGGCAAGGCATGGCCAGGCTTCCAGATCCCGTGCGAGATCCCAGATCAGCTGGATGGGATCTTGATGGGATGAGAATTGGGCTGAGATTCAAACAAAGTGCCAGTTCATACCTCGTGCCATCTCGTGCCAAACAAAGCCGGAGTGCCTCAAAACCTAGACGAGATGCAAAGAAACGATAGCCGATAGATGCCAATAGCCTCTTTAAACTTCTTGCTTCATGATGTAAACAGGCGTTGGATGATGTTGGCATAATAAACTTTTCTCATCATTTGCAGAACGGCTTTAGTGCTTTGACCGGGCTGCAGGTACCCTGGAAGTGGCTATGGGGCCCACGGGGCCTTGCCGCCCAATGGAGCCACGGAGCCTGTCACCAGTCCGGGTACCAAGCTTGGAAGGCTATAGGGGCTATAGTGTTGAGGATCCTTTTTGCCTATCAGGAACCATTTGGAACCCCATAATACATTGGTAGTATATTTGAATGATAAAAGCCAAGCTCTCCTCTAAATCTAGCCCTGAGCCTTCAACTGAATCCATTATCTCAATGTTCTTCATGACTCATACACTGAAAAAACTGGTCTATCCTGGGGTCTATGAATCTTGTTAGGACTTGGGTTGGCTGATTCAGATGCCATGACTTGGAGAATGGCTGGAGCACCTAAGGTCTCCAACATCTGGCAGGCATGTAATGGGAGGGCCTTGGAGCTGCTGGGGATTTCGTATGGAAAGTGGCCTGGAGAGAACCTCTTTGCAGCTCGTATGATTAGTCTCAAATTGCAAGTATCGAAGTAAGAAGCTTGTCAGGGGGAGCAGGGAAAGCCAGGTGTTAGTGCGAAACAAGACAAAGAAATTCTCGACACCCTGCGCTCGAGCGGCTTGGCGCGGATGCTCAAGATCACACAGTCGAAAGCTGCTGAGATGAAAAGCAATTTTGAGACACAGGAGACACCAAGAGAGTTCGAGTCAAGGGTAGGCTCCCTCCCTTCGGCTTTTCAGAACTATGGACAAATAGAAGTAAATTCTGCGTTACGGACTCGAATCTCAAAAGCACTTGCCACCAGCACTTGACACCCCTTGTTCGCTTCCGGTTGAGATAGTGTAGTGTCACCAGTTTACAAAGTTTGGACCTGATGTGTGTGTACAGCTGCTTTGCCATCGCCGAAAGGCACTGAATTTGAAGAGCCTCGACGAGCCGGGAAGCACTGTCTTGACTGGATGTGGACCTCCTGTGAAACGGCTGTTGGAATTACAGTAATACTGCTTGCAGTGGTTTGCAGGTAATATTCCATCATGTCGCAGAAACTTGATTGCCTCGGTTTGGAACGTGTTCACTGATACTTAGGCCTGAGGTTGATATCGGCCAGATGCTGAACATGTCTATGGCCACTCAGGCACCTCCACTTGTCTAGGTGGCTGCGAGGGCCTTTCGCAAGATTTTGACTTGCTCGAAGAACATCGAAGAACTAACCCTATCTTTCGCATGATCAAACCCCGCATTTCGAGATAAAGCAATGATGTCTCTGCACCTGTCAGCACCTGGCATCCAACCTTCACGCAGGGAAGCGCTCACGCCAGTATGGAGGGAAATGCGAAGCACGGAACTCAATTTCCACCAGTCCCTCTGAACATCCTTGCTTTCAAGTTGCCACATTGTAGGCTTGAGAAGGCATGAGATGTGCCACAGGCAAAGCTGGGAATTTCCTCCCATGGATGAAAGAACCCAGAGTGCAACTGCCCAGGACACCTTCCATGAATGCAGCAGCTGCGTTTTCACCTGAGCCAACGGCAGTTCCCAAGCCATCACAGGCCGGTTCCCTGAATCAAGAAGTTGCCACTTGCCTCAAAACGGCACATTGAAAATTGATTAAAATTGTGAGATGCTTAAACTATCCTAAAATCAACTCATGTCCTCCTTTGAATCGATTGCTGTCATTTCTTCCTCCGTGTTTGGAACTGGAACAAGCTGGACGTGCTGTGCAGTCTCCAATGTCTCCAATCCTGCTGCAGGTGCGGGTCACCAGCAGCTCTATGATAGCGGCAGAGGTCCAATGGGCTGAACATTTGGATCTCGACTGGACATTTTGAAGGCGATGCAAGATTTTACATCCTGTGCAATACTTTTCACAGAGTCCTGAATTCTAATCATTCTAATCAAACAGATGCAATCCATTGCAATCCCACATTGATCCCACATTGTCAAGAAAGAGCAAAGCAGCAATGACACGGGATCATTTCAACGACCCCGAGCTCTGGTGCAAAATGGTTTTGTGTCGAAAGATATGACTTCCACTGAATAAAAACGATATGTTCTCGGCTTGGCAGGATTACCTCCGCGGCTACCGCCCTCAGAGCAATGCGCAACGTTTGACATACCCAAGCCATATACTTAGATGTGGTGGATCCATGGTGGATGCCAGTCGAAATCGTTTGATCCTGGAAGCTTTTGGATCCCAAAGTCCTTCCGAAAAGTCTGCGACCAAAACCTTTGTACTGTATCAAGTTTGAGGAAGCCCTGTCAGTCCTGTTTCAAAGTTTTTACCCATCCTGACCACACCTGAGCCTTCAAGCATTGCCCAATGTATGTTGGGAGGTGGAAAAGGTTGGTTCAAAAGCTTCTGGTCATCCTACCTTTTGAGGCGGTGTCACCATTGACTTCTCCGAATTGGCACCAGCCAGTAGCTCAGAGTTTGCAACTGACAGTAGCAGTGCCTTGCTGGCTCTTGGATCTTGGATCGCACTTGGAGATCCTATTCTTCTAGACAACATCCATGGTTCATGATTCACCTTTCACGGTTCATCATTTTATCATATTTTATCTACATTATTCTGTATTGTCAATATCATTCAAAGGCATTGTTGAGCTATTTGTGTTGACCTTTGCAGACCTTACTACTTACCTCTCCTTTTGTGCAGGTGATGAGAGTCGTTGCCATTGCCAATTCTCAGCCGAAACCTGTGAGACAAAGGGTGCACACTTGAAAAGAATGTGGGTCACCGGTCACAAGTACTGTAACAGGGCAACATTCAGTTGATCATGGGAAACCGATTGCCATTCATGTCCAATTGAAGCCCGTTCCGAATATGTTGCGGGTCTTCTCCTGCGCCCTTCACAAAGGTCGCGCTCGCGGATCTTTGGGGCGATTGAGAGTGGCATGCACGTCTTGGTGCTCAGGGATAAGTCGCGGATAAGTTATGATTAGTTGATGTGGATGTGCCACAGTGTACCACCATGTGGCTCGTATTGTGGCCAGGGTGTGGTTTGGAAATACGCCGTCAACAAAAATCGCGAGCAAGATGTGGGGTCCTGTAGTCAGATTCAGGTCCGCACTGCCATGCAAGTCTTTCGGGAGTCCTGGCCTTGGACTGCTTGGAGTATTCTTTGTGGGTTGTGATGTGCTGTAAAAGGTTGGCACAGATTCAACCCCAGACTACGCTAGCTCACAAAGATCATTCTGACTATTTTGAGGGAGTGGGGGAGGACATGCTCTGTTAGGACCCTTTGACGCTGCAGGTTTGGGCAGAGACACTTTCAGCTTCAAAGTTAGGTTCACCATCACTATGTACTTCAGTTGGTATGCAAAGATATTTTCTTTCTGTGCAGACCCTTTTCCATCCTTTTCCAATCACAGCAGACTTCAGCAGTTCTCTTGGAATGGCCTGCTGCTCGACTTCTAGGTGCGATCGGGATGGCTGCCTGGATCTGAATCGGGTGACTGTGGTGACTGTGGTGACTGTGGTGATTCTGGTTGTTTTGGCAATGGTGATTTCTGACCAGTAACCGATGTTCAGTAGCAACTTGAGATGCATTGATGCTGTTTCCAAGGTGGCTTCCTCACCTGGAGCAATGGCCAGATTCGAGACTTTGTAGGGCACTCCAGAAATTCATTGGCCGTTTGCTTCAACAACATGTCGTGTGGCAGTAAGACATCGGTTTTGATACCAGGCTTCATCCTGTCAGATGGGAGTAGTTGCTTTGTGGACCATCCCCAGCAGCAGTTGACCCAAAAGGTTTCAACAACACTTGAGTAATTAGTAGTTGACCCAGGTCATGACAGTCTTCATCCAGTTAAGCTTAGTGCCACCTGCTGAGTGGGCAGCCTCAGCCGTGTGCAGTTCGGAGGGGGAAGTGTCATAGTTGTTGGGGTACTAGTTGCACACCCTAGAGTGCCTTGGAACTCATGTGTCCCTGCATGTTGCTTTTAGATTGGAGGCATTACAGGGACTCGCATGCATCTATGTAGCGACTTCGATGTCGCAGAAGTTTCATGTGCAATGAGGATGCAAACCTATGCAGCGCACACGCTCTTTGACATGAACAGGACAGTCCAACAGAACGACCCAGCATGGTGCATAAAAGCTGGTAATCGCAATGTTTTGTCGGTTTCTCCCAAGGAGGCACCAGTGAAGACATACCCATGGGAAGAGTCTACACTATGGCCCGATAGGTTTACTGGGAGGGTACTGTACAGTGACATCAGTGACTTACTGTCGTGATTTTGTTTCAAAATGAATCGCTTGAGAGTGAGCCACGGTGGGGTGCTCCGGCAATAGGAGCATGTGTTTATCTGCATGCCGGTGCCCCAGTGATCGAAGAAACGTGGCGCTGAGCCTTTTTTGCCTTCTCCTGAAGAACATTCTTGCAGAATGGCCAGGAGAGACTTTTGTGCAGTATACAGTATACACATGTATGCAGTCACGCCCAAGCTCTTGTGTCGGCCTCCTTCTCTTTCTTTGCGAGTTTATGCGTTTATCCTCCGTTCAACCTGCACATCATGCATCGTGTTGTATACAATTCATAATGCTCGTAGCCGCCGTCGCCGGTATCCTCATCGTCATTCCTCGTGATCGTCATCCCTATCACTCTCATTACCTGTTCATTATACCTCACTCCGCTCTATCAGTAGGATTGAATCACGGGCCTGGGGAAATACCAAGCATGACTTTGTGTTGTTGTTTCATGTTGTTTCATTATCCCGGGTTTGATTTGGTGGCAGTGGTTTCATGCCAAACTTCTCAGAGGTGATTGCCTTTGCCTGGTGGATGTGATGTTGCGAGTCCGGATGCTCGGATTGTTGGCTGCGGCGTTTGTGAACCATGTGGAGTTGGTTGGCTCGAGGCCATCTCTCTTGTGGATGGACATCAAGTCGACCAGGTCCCGCAAGCGCCATTTCTGTCATTCATAGATCATAATGATTTTCATCATATCTCACTTGAAACTGGAACATGAACAAATGCATCCGAATACATTGAATACATGGAATGGACCAGGCAACATGCAAATCTCGTATCAATATGATCGCTGATGCTACTCAGATAATGGGAGTCTTCTTAGCGTCAAGGTGTGTGTTTATTAGGGTGTAGGTGTGTGTGTGTTTAGATGTGTTTAGTGTTGCACTTGTTCGGTTTGTTACCGACCTGCGATCCAGTTGCCATTGTCTACTCTTACACATGGGCATCATTAGCATAAATGCATGAACATGGACTGCATGAAACAGACATGCTTGACACAAATATGGTTTGCCTGCGTGAGTACGGCAAGAATGACGGTGGTAAGGACACTAGATTTGATGTCGACTTCCTTTCAGTGTTCGTTGGTGCAAGAAGTATGTAATGAATGATAATGAGTGATAATGAGTGATAATGACAATTGAATACAATTGATGCTCTTTATCACTCATTATCAATTCTTTGGTTTCCGGCACCGTGCAGGTGCCCCGTGCGCCACGAAGTCGTTCCCCCGGCACAGCCTCGGTGCGTGCCGTGAGCTCGCCGGTTGCAGAGGACTATGGAGCCATGATGGTTCTGGTGAAGAAAGGAATTCAGGCGAATCTGAGATATGGAAGAATTTTTGAGTGCTCGATTCTCGATCTGAATAATTATGTTTGATGCTTTTCTTCTTAACCTTTTCAAACTTGTGGAATAAATGTTGATCCGGAAGTCATAGCGTTTGGGATTGGGGTCCGTTAAAAGTTTTCCGGAAATAGTTATGAAATTGTACCATATTGTGCCATGAAGCTCAGGAGTTGGCACAGGCGCAGGCAGAGACGGAGCGCCTGAGGCCTGCATATTGGGGGATGAGATGGATAGGGTGCTCTGAGACTAATTATACTAGACTATAATATATATATAATATATATATATGGTCTGTTATTATTGGGTCGCTTGACTTTTTGCTGGTTGTTGTTCAAAGGAGTGCATGCCATGGAATCTACGTGAAAGCTTCTGGTAACGGAACGCAAAGGAATTGAACGAGTACTTCTCAGTGTAACCTTGTCTGTCGGGGCAAGGATTGACCCACAGCAAAAGGCGACCCTTTTTTCCTTTTGTGTTGGACCTTTGGACCTCCACAAACCCTTGGCCGAGTCGGCCAAGTAAAGATATGCTTGGAGAATCTGCCTGTCTTCAGATGTTCTTCCTAGATATATTCAAAGGATTTCTTAACACTTGTTGCTCATGTTGCAGATGCCAGGCAAGAACTTGCTACTTGTTTGCAAGATGATCATGCGCCATGCTGGACGTATGTTCGTTCTGAGCAAGATATGTTGCATGTATCTTTCTTGGGTGTGGTCCTGCTATAAGAATAACAGCCAGGATGGGTTTGGCAACAGTCGTAATTTGATATTGAACTTCCACCTGAAAGTTCAGCTGGACAGTCAACTGCCCTTTGTCCAAGGAGGAGCTGAAGGCTGCAGAAGCTGCAGCAGAAGCTGGAGATCACAGGTGGCCAGTGGGAGAAGTCTGACTGTATACCTCGAGTTGCGGACAGGGAAACAATACCCATGTGGCAGCTGCACAACACATGACATGAAGCTTGCGGCCATGTCTGCCTGAGTATTTTGAGTCTTCCAATGATGCAAGGCCATTCACTTCAACCGAAGGCCCGCTGGAATCAATTTCAGAGACAATCGAAATTGCAATCCTCAGACTTGGTCAAGTCTGAAAGAGGCAGTTGAAATATGTGTGATTTTAGAATGCAGCATTTACATATATATATATAATCATATATGTATGCATATATATATATAAATTTGTGCAATAGAATGCCCCGAACCAAAGAAGTGTTAGAATGAAGCGCCTTCGGCTATGCCGCTATAGATTGGGTGGAGGCTTGGGACAGCAAAGATCAAACTGACATTTACGGTCTAGTAATGTCTAGTATATCCTGACAAGAAGTTCTCTTTGATACATACCCTGTATATACCTCTTCCAGGTTTTCTTGAGCCAACAAGCGATACAGCAGTCGGAGCACTCAGATCGTCAGAGAATGGCTCAGAATGGCATGTGCTGAGAAGTTTCCTTCCCGTACATAAGCTTCAGCACTGCAATCAAAGGGTCATTCAGCTTGCCCACCATTTTCTCTTTTGTGTCTAAAGGGGACAATCCAGTTTCAAAGGAAACTCTGCGCGCGTTGGCATGCTTGTCCGTTTCCTCAAGAGGCACTAGGATCTGTCACACTGAGCTAGTTGCATGCCAACTTCAAAAAGGGTGGTATCATCACCCCGAGGCACTTTTGTCCACTGCCAAAGCGCATGCGGAGAATCGGCGCTTGGAACGTGAGCTTAAGAATCTGAGGGCTCTGGCAAGCCGTCAGCGTGGGGAGGCGCTGGTGCACAGAGAAATTGGGGAATACGGAAAGGTGGAAAGGGGTGGTTTAAAATGACATAACATGATATAAAATGACTATCAATGTTCATATACAGTAATCATTTTAATCATTGGTCAATCAAGTTATGTCAAGCTGTGGGTCAGCTCCTTCAATGATCATTTTTGACTCTGACGTTTGAGGAAGCTCCTGTTTGGGCAGGTGGAGTGGCTCAACGAGCTCAAACAGCATCTGAACACCAGCCGCCAAGAGGCGATGTTTTCACCTACTTTTTCCCCAGACATAGTTAGTATGTAGCGCATGGTGATCACAGGCACTCTGGCATGTCTCAAATCATCAGAAAGCCAGGAGCTGGAGGAGGAACACCTGAGGCTGATGGAGATGCAGCAGGAGGAGGATGAACTGTTGCACCGCATGTTGATGGCTGCTATTGACTGAGGGCCAAAATTCCAATTGCCAAGGCTTGGCGAACATAATCTGTTTTTTTTCCCTGTGCAACCGATGACGATGCCTGGCAATACTGTGGAGAGTTTCACCGTGCAGAAAGCGGGGTAGGTCACAGTACGATGCCAAGAAACGGTCTTCAGCTGCAGTAGTGATATCTTTTGATGGACAAACTCTCCAGATCTACCTTCAGCAGTTGTGATGTGTTCCAAAGAGCTGGCCACCTGTTGCAGGAGGCAGCAGAACAGGCTGCACTGCGGCAGCAGCAGGAGATGGAAGAACGACGGCAGCGGCACTTGGAAGCTTTGGTTCAGGAGACGGAGGAAGTTTTGAGAGGATTCCAATGGATTCCATAGGAACATATGGGAACTAGGCCACTAGGCTCGGCTTGAATGACTTGAATGCTGATCTTCGTTCCAGTTTGAATCAGCTTGCACTGGGCTTACACTGCCAAAATAAATCAACATCTGGCAGGAGCGATCTGAGCGGCGCAGGCGTTTGGAGCAACGGGAGAAGGAGCTGCAAGAACAGGAGATGGCGCAGGCGCTGCAGGGTGAGGTCGACAAACATGACAAACCTTTTTCTAAACCATGTCCATCTATGTCCATCTATGTCCATCTACATCGTTGCAACTGATTTGCTTCATTAGTCATCAGCTGAAACAGTCACACTCCTGGCATGACTATAACAAATTGGAATCAAAAACGCGGAAGACTGGCTTCATGGTGCCCAAAGGCACTAGGGGCACTCACTCCTAAAGAAAAGGTTGCAGGCAATGACAAATTCCAGTGCAATTCAATGCCAAGTGATTGGCAGGATTTTTACACCCACAAAGTCTTTTGCTTCTGCACTTCACACAGGAAGCAGAGGAGGAGAGGCTCCAACAGAAAGAGCAGGACTTTCGTTGTGCTGTCATTGATGTCCGACTGACTTCCATTTCTTAGAATTTCTTTTTGAGATGGTTGGATTTGTAGAATTGAGATCCGAAAACGGCACGAACACCAACGTGGGAGATTATCAGATTGTACATTAGCACTTGGAGAAATATTGTTCACGAACTGCAGTACCAAGCTCGTCAACACTGGAACGACGATCCAATTGATCTTTTGAACGCGATTTCCAGACTATTGAAATCAAACGACAAGCATCAACCGGCCACCTTCCACCACGTCACAACTATTTGCAGAACTCATTTTGATGGTTTGCAAATGTTTACGAGATGATTTGAGATTTCAGGACCTGCAACAAAGAGAACTTGAGCTCCACAAAGAGAGGGAGCGGAGCATTCAGCAGGCCGAGGCGCAGCCCATGTCGCCTTGCGCCTGCGAGTGGCACCTCCATGGACCGCGTCACTGTGGGTCAGGCGTTGCGAGGGCGAGAACTGGACGTCTCCAGGGAGATTGGACGATTGCAGGCTGAGATGCAAACCGGTGGCAGTTGATTTACGAGTTGAAGTCTGATACAGTCTGACAGAGTGTACACACAGCATGAAACCAAATTTTAGATCTTCGAATTTGACCAGTGACAGAGATGGTTGGAAGCAACGACAGAGATAACGGATAACGTGTCTTGATGCTTCTTCCCGCATTGACGCCTCGTCATTTCCCACGACGCTGCAGGCTGCTGCTGTGGGCCTGACACCTCCAGTAGCGCCGGGGCCGGTCATCTCACCGAGTGCAGCGTCACATGTGGAGCCGGAGGTGCGGTGCGGAAGGTTCACTCGGGAGATTCGCCCATGCTTTGGTGGTCCACAAGATGGGGTGTATCACATGCTAGTTATTAGTTATATACATCTTATTACATGTCATTATATAAATTATGAGATTATATTATATTGTATTATTACGAAAGCCAGCCGGACAAGCTGGCTAGTTGTTTTTTGCGAACGTAGTGAGAATTTGGGGGGAGGCGTTGCCAAACAGGTCCATTTTTCCAGTCTAAGTTGGTGTTCAGGGTGTCAACTGGCAGTGTTTTGCAGGGTAATGTACCAGGTCGCAAATGGGTGACGGTGGGTATTGATTCCCCCTGGTCCGTGATATTGGGTTAAATAGGTAGACAAATACTAGGGCTAAATAAGTGGACAAGTTGATCAATACATAGGCAGATACTGTAACAGATGGATGGAGAGTAGACCGAGAGAGGGAATTTATCGATAGCTGGATGACCACAGAGAGAGAGAGAGAGAGAGTTAGGTTGATACATGGATGGGTTGACGGAAGGCTGGACAGATAGGTTGATAGATAGATGGCTAGATGGATAGAGGTCATGGAAACTTTGTCGGCAGCAAGCTGCAATGACAAGCTGACATAGAGCTATGCCGAAGAACGCATGCTTAACAGATTTCATATTTTGTCAAGAAAAAGATTGCAGATGCAATGATAAGCAGATGCTGCAGTCTAACAGAGCTGTAACAGGGAGGGCCTCTTAGCAGCTCTGCTGTGGAAAAGTGTCAGTGTCACATGCGATATCGTTTGCATACCGTGGACCGTCACGTCATCTGTTTCTGACGAAACACGTTGATACAACTGGGATCATCTGGGATCGTGGGAAAATAAATGGGCCGTGGCAGATACTTTTGCTAAGTACAGAACGCTATCATCGTGCGGCGTACCAATGGAGCCAAGAACCAAATCTAGAGTCTGCATGTTTAGATCACGGTCATGTTAAGCCGTGTTTGGCCCATGTGGGACCTATGTTACGCTTATGTTGGTCCATGTTGGGCTCTTAGACGACGTATTGCGGCCATATTCGTGCCATGTTGAGCTTTTGTTAAGCCAAGAACGGTGTGTTCCTTTTAAGCCTCTACCTGGCCCAAAAGGAACGTTTTTGGATCATGTCGGGACCATGTTGGGCGTATATGGAGCCTATGTTGGGCCTATGTTGGTCCATGTTAGGCTCTTGGAGGCAATGTTGGGGCCATATTCGTGCCAGGTTGAGCTTATGTTAAGCCAAGAACGGCGGGTTCCTTTTAACAACTCCAATTTTGAAGGTGTTACGCGCTGGAAATTGGCTGCGGTAGGGTATTGATTCCCCCTCGGTCTGGGTTTTCGTGGGTGAGCTAAGTAGCCAGTCAGAGAAATCTATAGAGCGAAATATTTTGCTTAAGAGACTAGAGATACGTAGCTGACCAACAGAGTTTTAGGAAGGCGACCTGGAGTACGCGCAGTCGTGATGCTTGCGGGTTTGCTGCAGATAGAGAACTCCAATATTTGAAGGTATTCTGGGCAGGAAATTTAATGCTCTCAGTCGTGATGCTTACGGGCTTGCTCCAACAGAAGAACTCCAATTTTGAAGGTATTAAGCGCAGGAAATTTGCTGCAATAGGGTATCAGTGCCCCCTCAGCCTGGTTTCGGGCCAGCAAAACAAATAGATGGAGAAAATATATTGCCCGAGAGACTGAAGATACGTAAACCACCAACAGAGTTTCAGGATGTCTGCCTCAAAACTTTCTGTGCAGTTAGGGCTAGGCTACAACTGGAGGATTTCAATGTTGAAGGTCAGGCAATTTGCTGTGCGCTGGGGTTTTCATTATGAGAGGTGGCTTTCGTTCCCCCCTTCTATCCCCTTCTCAGGCATGAATACAAAATAAGTACGGCAAATGGTAGGGAGATGTTGTAGATGTCAGGTGCCGATTTACATGCGCGCTACCAATTTCTGTCACGCCGTTGAAGATCCAGGAAGAGGCCGATGCTGATGCTGCAGAGGCTGCAGCCATGGCGCGGAGCCACGGTCAATCGAACCATGCTGGTTGGCACCTTTACATGATATCTTTCACCGTTTCGCCTGCGATAAATGTGGAGATTTTAGCAACAAAAGTGGGGATACAAGAGAACTGGTTGGAAATTTGATCTTTGTTGTTTTCCACAACAACCAATAGAACTTGTTGGTCTGAAATGTTTTGAAATTTCCATATGTGGCGTGTTTGGGATGGATTCAGGCACCAACCAGACAGGTTGGAGAGTGCGGCATTGAGAGTCGTTTGGTGGAACCGTGAGAATTCTGGGGAGAAGGTACCGTGTTTGATTTTCCTAGGACGGTGATGGTAATCAAACAATTCCATTCTTTACTGTAGCATGGGAGAAGACAGAATGGAACACAGAAAGGATTGAATTTTGTCCCAATCGATCACCATTTCAAAATTTTGATCTCCCCCGAGTCTTTGAGTTTCTGACAAACTTTAGCCGCTCTTCAGCCCAAGGCTGCTGCGCAGTCACTGGAAAACCGCAAACTGCGTCGGGAACTGGAGAGTCTACGTGCCTTGGCCCACTGGCAGCAGAGTGAGGCCGCCACCTCAGTTCTGGAAGAGTTTTTGACCCCATAGAGACCCATGAACTACGAATGAAACACGACCTTTCTTCATGAAAGGTAAACGCCAGGCTGAGATTCGGCAGAGTTAAAGTGAAGGTTTCACGCCGCACCATATTTCGTAGGTCGGAGCTGCCATCGCTTGCAAGAGCGCAGCGCCTGGTGAGAGTCAGCACAGGCTTGCACTTGGCATGTCCGATGTCATTGTGATACAGGTGATACAGGGTTTTCAGCGAACCAGCCAAACATACGTAGAATTAGAAATTAGAATTTAATTTGTTGGAACTTTAAGTAGCATTGTAGCGAATCCAAATTTCAGGTGTTCAAGCTTGCTTTGTATGGGTTTGTACCGGTACACTGTCCTGACTTGGCAGAGCTCCTGCTAGGGGCCCTTCAGCTGCTTCAGCTGCAGCTGGTGGTGGGCAGTCGAGCAGCTTGACTCCAGTGATCAGGGGCAAAGTATCTTGCGATTGCCGGGGTCAGCGGAGAATTGGAGATTTTGATGCCAGCAAAGCTAGTAAAGAACAAAGCTATTTAAGAAGTTGAACAAGTACTCACATGTCAACAAAATTCATCAAAATTCACTTTGTAGCACTGCCATGAAAAAGAGTCTTCACCGTCGCAATCCAATGCTTTCATCACCAAGTGAGGCGGCTCCAAGCCACGAGGCCAAGGGTTTGGCACTGTGGCAGCGAACCAAACCTGGTACCTTTGGTACCTCCAGATCTCTGTGACATGTCGGTTTGCCAATGTTTGCCATGGTTTACACGCTTTTGGACATACGAACAAATGTAACAAATTCCTGAAAATGTCAGTGGCTTGAAGCTGGACCGTCCGGAGGCGCCTTGGTGATGGCTGCCCTGGCTGGTGAGGCCCTGGCCCAGCGCCAGGCCGGCAACTCAGTTGAATCTCAGTTGATTTGAGTCGCGCATCGGTCTATAAATCCAATTAAATCCAAGAGGCGAGAAGGTCGTGAAGGAAGACGTTTTGTTGTTTTGAGGAGCATGTCAACAGGGGGTCATAGATGTTTTTTGAATATAGAACAAGATGATACAAAATGTATGCACATGTCTTGAGTGTGGTCTTCATTTTAGGAGCACGGATGTGTGTGCTGAGCTAACCGCCCCAAATCACAGAGCCGGGATGCAGGCAGATGCACCTGACAGCGCCCCGTGGCAATGCCACACTTGCGGATCCAGTCCAGCAACTCGGCCTATGCGAAAAAGTGAGCTGCAAAATTCACTCACCGTGCCTTGGGGCCTTCGGGCCTTCGGGGCGGAGTATCCCCAAAATTCAGAGTTTCAGCATTTCCAGGGCACCATCTGGAAAGATGCCTGTCACATGGTTCAAAATCATATAAAATCATGGAACCCCCAAGTTGGATTATTTACTGCCGGAAGCGGCCAAACTTGTGGTTCATGTGGTGCCAACATGCCATGCGGTGCCATAATTTTGAGCCATGCCCATGTGTTTGGGCCAACTCTACAGTTTGTGGGCGATAGATGGCGATAGAACTCCAGGTTTTTCTCAAGAGATGTTGTAACATCGTCAGTATTATACAGTATTTTGCAGTACTATTGTATACATTTATGTATTATGAGAGGAGCGAAGTGGACTACCCGGCTACCCAAACTCAAGATCCTAAAAGGCCCTGCAGCGCAGGAGCAATCCTCCTATGGCCGCGGTGGATTGGAGGAGCTTGGATCCTGATGTTCAATGGTTTAAGTTTCAGGCAGCTGGGCAGTGGTGAGATACAGCACCCACTCTTCAAGCCAAACATTTGATGGAATTTGAATGAATTTGAGGGAATGCCCAGCAATGTCTACAAAGACAAACTGAACAACAAACTCGACAAAGTACAATGAGGTCAGGTAGACCAGGTAGACAGGGTATGACAGGGTGAGGTTCACTTCGTTCACTTCATGAATCAATATAATCAATGATTAAGGACGGAACATGTGTCACACATGTGTCACACCATCCCAGCCATGCTGTCCTGTGAGGACTACGACCGCACCGTGCGTGACCTGATGTCACGTGTCCTGGGCCGGTCGGATGACCTGGACTCGCCACACGCTTTGCCGAGAGCTCGCAGCCCGAGACGAGTCCTGGAGCCAGTGACGATGCAGTGATGGCCGGATCGAAGCGGGTCGAAGCGGGCCGAAGCGGGTCGAAGCTTTCACAGCCTGTGTGGCTGTGGTGACCTTGCACCCTTTGCTTGGCCCAGTGGCTTAGCCAAAGGCTGTCCAACAGGTGTTGGCACAGGACCAATGACTGTGAAGAAAGGAAGCTGGGGTGTTTCTCGAACCACTGTATCCGCTGTCATGGTTATAGAGACATAGATGTTATATATGGTTAATGGATCATAGCAAGGACACGCACGGAGGGAAGATCAATATGTTCCGATAGCCGAATTTCTCTGAAAGGCTTTTGCATGCTTTACCTCCAATGGATTTTCATCAAAGTTGCGTGTGAAGTTGCCAGACCTTGTGGAAACTCCAACATTCGCGCAAACACCCCAGACTGTAACTTTTCATGTGCTACAGCTTATCCAGCTGGATGTTCTATAGCAGCCAAGTGCTGGTGAAGAACAGGCGAAATTAGGTCATCGAGGTGTCTTGGATGTGAAATCAGCACATCTGAAACGTTTCTGAAAGCTAGAAGCGGCACCGACCCCTGTGAAAAGAATGTGCAAGCCCAACGACGTCCCCAAAGGCAGAAGTGCACAACAGGGTTCAAAAGTGTGGAGCAGATGCAGCCACATGAAACTGCAATGTCTTGGACAAAACTAGAAGGATCTAGAAGGCCCGAAAGAAAAGCAGAAGGGAGTAGATCAAACGAGGATGGAAGAGAAGATGTGAAGATGACGGATTATGAATGATGCAAGATGAGAAATGACGAAGTTGTTGATGCATGATGACTGACGATGAGAATTCGATAGAATTTGTGCTTGTTATTGCCGAATGTGTGTTTGCCACGTGATGACTCCTTTGTCCTCCCAGTGACATCAAAACTGGACATTGGGTGATTTAAGAACTGGACGAAACAACCACCAGCGCCGCACCAACCAGGTTGTTTCGAACGAACCACCAACGTAGTACGCATTGCTCGAAGTGGACAAAAGATTTCACAGACGCGAAGCTTTTTCGCAGGGAAGCTGTTACAAATATAAGTCACCTCATGTCACCTCTACATCGAGAGAAAAAGGCACCTTTTGGGCCTTTCGATCTATTCCTGCACGTTGTACTTTTGAAGCATCGTGCCTACACACTTGAAGCAACAGAACAGCTGATCGGTTGCAACGCCTGTGATCTCCAAAAGCCAAAGACAGGACAAGCTCATGCAGTGCCGTTGGCCCTGTTTTGGTGATTTTGGCTCCTAGGCCCACACGCACAGAGCTCGATGAAGCATATTTAAGAGATCAACATTTTGATGGTGACAGAACCACAAATGCAAACTATGCACTGAGCAAACACCAGCTATCGCCAGCTGTCGACAAAAGTTTGGGCTGCACAGAGTGAACAAACATAAGCAAACCCTACCGTTAGAAATCCCGGCAGTTCTGGCACTCAGGGTCTTGTGCCCGTTTGCTCCTTGCTTGTCGCGGGCACGACGCTGGCAAAATCGCAATGGCGGAAGTTTGTGCCCACACCCGCATTGAGGCGGGCGCATTCATTACGTCCAGGCAGGTATAGATTCTTACCTGCTAATCCTAATCATTGTGTTTTTGTTTACTTAGCAACACAGCAACACATGCTAGTTGAACATGTGGACATTGGATTGGATGGCCGATGAACGTGGCACTATAAGGCTCATGCAAACAGCACACAGCACTTTCGGTGGAAACGGTGCTTCTGTCCAGATGTCAAGTCAATAATTCGGGGCGGGTAAGCACTTCAAACATTTGCCATGTGGGACGTAGGGATTGAAGATTGGATCTTTTCCCTTCCGTTTCCAGCATTTGTGAGGCCGCATTGGCTGCCCAGCGCAGTTTCATGGACACCTGGGGTGCCCAGCCTGAGTCTCGGTTCTTCAGGCTGCTTGGTACATTTCATGTTTTCCTTCCTTGCAGGAGTGGCTGCGAAGGCAGGTGACTTGAAACAAAATTGCAAAAATGCAGCTTCGTGATTTGCTTTTTTTACAAGTTTGTGCTGTATGTTGTTATGTTTTCATATTTGTTCATTCTTTAAAGCGTTTCATGTATATATATAATTATTAAATATTATTAAAGGGAGCAGGATTGCACAACTTGTTTCCTGTACGTGTTTTCAGATTTTTGACACAGTATCAGACTGAGGCTGGAGCAAATGTTGCAGATGTGCGTCTTTTTGGTGCCAGTGCAGGCTTATCAATCCGTCTACACGTGATGATCACGTGATGTATAGACATGCGTTTCCATTTGGAAAGATAGGATCAAATGGCTATGCCGCTATGCACTGTGGTAGCCTTCACTTCAATCAATGTAGGGAAATTGAAAGACCCACAACATCTTAAAGAAGTAGACAATGAGATGGGCCTGAGTTTCAGCAACTAGCGGGGTGTTTGTATTTTGGCCAGTCGGCGCAAGGAGGACGATGACAAAGCGGGATTTTGGAGTCAGGCGCGAACTCTTCGTTCGTGTTTTCCGTGGCAGGTTTGACAAGCTGCTTGGTCAACCTGTTCAGCACTCACTACATACTATAGATGTGGTGGTTGTTTTTCTTCTTCAGGTTGGAGGCGAAATAGTATTTGCAAAAAAACAACACAATTTTTGGAGTGTACCTAAGGAACATGCGGAACTTTTGCTATCACCAAAGGGCATACGAACAATGTTTGGCTGGTGTTGAGACAAGATCACATAATCAACACCAGCCCCATCGATCAAGCATGCCAGACCACGGTTTGTGCATGTTTGTGCTATAAAGACTGGCAGAAGATGTCAAAAACTGAAAGGAAAGAACACATCAGTATTTTAGGTTGGTTTTTAGACCCTTGCCTGGCCTATGTAGCTTACTACTTGACAGTCCTTCACGCTCACCTTGGTATTTCCGATTAAAATATCTAACATCTCCATCAACACCTTGTGAGTTGCCCAAACCGAGCCGAGATATCAACTGCCTGTGACAGAGGCAATATACTCTGTCAGTGATCTTTTCAATTTGCTTGGGTTCCTCAGTTGGCGGGGCGCAACAGTAGGGTTGTTGAATGTTGCGGAATAATGTGGAGTTGCGGCAGCGATGACTGAATATCGCGGCCAAGTCTGGATTTCTTGAGAGGTATTTGTTGACTTCTCAAGACTGAAAGGTCAGTACTACTTTTTCCGCACAGGAACATGTCATTCTTGACGCTTTTGAATAAATCAAAATAAATCAGACACATATTATACATATTGTACAACTAGGTACCAGCACGTAAAAAACTTAAAATAAAGGCCCTTGTTTTGCCTTAGGAAACCCACTGATTCAGCAAACAAATCCCATCAGAACTTTCCAATGCTTGGAATTCCAGCTGTTGCTGTCATCCAACGAGGTACCGCACAGTGGTGCTTCGCAGCCCTGAAGAGTGCGATTACACGTTTGAACAGTGCAGCTTTTGTTGAAGACTTTCCCACTGCAACAATCTGCAACAACCGTATCTGAATGATTTGACAGAAAGAAACAAATCGTAATACTTTGACATAAGGGATCCCTAGCAGATCTGCGAAATTTACATGTGGCTCTGGTTCGCAATTGTACAATAGAAACATGTAGGAAACCACAAATGCACGCATCATCAAAATGCTCAATGCCAGGATTCCCGTTTGCGAAGCTGAGGGAGGTGCGCACTTTTCTTGGCTGCGTGATCTGTAAGTCAAACGGAGATGATTTGATTCACATTGTAATCTGATAGTCCTGAACGGCTTCATTTCAGGTGACCTGGTGAAGAACGGACCCTCCAAAGAGCTTCGAAAAGCGCGTAAGCCCTGGCCTGATTTCATATGGTTTGGCGCACTTGTATAGGCTTGAATTTGAAACTGTTTCTTGACCATGCAATTCAACCTGCTTTCCCAGAGTTGCAGTGGTACCCACAGGCTTTAAACAAGTTTCTGCTGATGATGACGACGTTTGTGGGGTTGAGCTGTGCTATCATGTTTCACTCCTGACAATTCTTGACAGAACAACTAACTGTGACCAAATGAGCCTGAGTAGAGCTTCTGCTCCGGATTCTTTGAGCATCTTTGAGCTACTTGTGACTTCCCCAATAATTCCCAGTGCCAGGATTGGGCTACATGTTGGCGGCCTTCACCTTGCGGGCCATCCGGTCCATTCAGGTGAGCCACGACCATCTGTAGTGGCTGGAGGGAGATCTTCCTGAATTTTTCGAACCGGTTTTGAAGTGAAACGAGAACGACAGATTTCAAGGGTTTGATAGACGGAAATTTGTTTATTCACAGATCTGCCTGTTTCCCTGACCTTGCAGGTGCTTATCGAAATGGATGCCTTCAATAGGAAGGGTCTACATCTTAACTCGTTGGTTTCTTGAAGTGAAGAGTCACAGCTCTAGCTCAGACTTGAATGAATTGAGCCTAGGTTTGCGTATGGATGTAATTGGTGTGGTACGTGATCCCTTTCCTAGAGGTCAACCATGTCAGCTTATGGGTAGTTTCCAAGCTTCCTGTTAGGCTCCAAGTATGCGTTGCAAGTTTGTACTCGCATTGAATTGGTGAAGCTGGTGTGCGGCCCTGGTAGAACAGGAGAGATGAACCCAGTATTTTTTTTCAGTGATTGTACAAACGTTCAAGCAGTGACATTGAGGAATCTGGTGTGTTCACAGGTGTTTGACATCGACGAAAGCAGCGACATCTTGTTTTGGGAGAAAAGTCTGGTCATTGCAAAGCCTGCTACATTGTTCTGATTGGACAGGGGCTTTTTCTCCAGTAAATCGCATCCAGGCCAAGTAGCAGGCAGTATTCATTCTTAAATTATACATGTGACACGTTTTGGAGATATTCCATTGTAACAAGGTGCTTTATCATGGACGCTCTGGGCTTCTTGTCTCTGTTGAAAATTACTCCTGTGGATTTGCGGTGTGTTTCACTATGTTTCACTCCCCAAACACTGAGGCGCTCAAGATTTTCCTGCGCCTTAAAATGCCTTTCAACTTCTATGTCGACGAGGTGTGGCTGCTTGATGCCACCCTCATCAGCTCATGATGCTCGTGACTCGTGACTCAATGCAAAAGGTGGCCATTGAAGATGCGGAGCCTCCAAAGCTGTTGCCATCCCGTCCTGTGTTTTAAGCTGTTTGGGGTGGCATTGCAATGACAGTGTTGAAAAACAGATACACATTTGGTGTTGGTGCTGCTCAAGAGTGTTGTGCTTTTCTCTTCCTTCTGCATCACTCAATGAGATGAAACGTGATACTGGTGACAAGATGAGACTTTGAAGTCTCAGCCAAAATAGCCCGATCCAGTTTTGCGTAGTCAGCGGAGAAAGCTTTTGAGCCGCTTGTTGGCTTTGCACTGGCTCGAGCTCGCTTTCATCTTGCCCTGCCTTGCACCTCGCGCATCGACAAGCTCCTTGACTCATTTTCTTCAAACATGGCCCTTCCAATGAAGAAGTCCGTGATGAAGTCTGCCATGAAGTCAATGAAGAAGGCGGCAAAGCCAACGTCGATGAATAAGACTGTGATGAAGAAGAAGAAGGCAGTCAGCAAGATTGCGCGTGGCAAGCGAGCAAAGGCTGCAGTCTTCCTCGGCAGGAAGGAGAAGACTGCATCAGGGCATTCTCGATCTGACCTGATGAAGACCAAGCATGGTCGCATTGTGACCAAAGCAAAGCATGCTCAGGGCAAGAAGGCCTACGCCTACATCTCTGCCTGGACTAAGGCCCTGCAGAAGGCCAGGAAGGAGTTGGGCATCAAGGGATTCTGTGCAGTTAACGGGAAAACTGCTCAGGGCAAGGCCCTTTATGCTAAGACAAAGGCCATCTTCTCTGCCTGAGCAGTACCATGATGTGCCCTGATTGGGGTTGGTGCAGGCATGCTTACGTGGTAGTTCACGGAGCTTTCCTGCATTTGACATTTCGCAATCATCTCAGCATGTATAGCCAATCCTGCTGAGACAATGACCAGATGCCACGCCAAAAGGAAAGTGTTTATCACTATTCACTCTGGTTGTGTTCTTTTGCACAGACGGGATGGGGGACCATCTTGGATGGTTTGGCGAATCTGATTTCCATGTCTTCACTCAGCGCTGTGGACATTCATCGTGCCAGGGAGCAGCAACGCAACGCACTTCTTGGACAGCAGCAGCAGCAGCCTAAGTGCCTCCTGCAAAATGCCATGATAGCACTGACCCACAGGTCTTGGCTGGTGAAACGGTCGGAACCTGCAAGCTACTTTTCCCAGTTTTTTGATGTTTTTTGCAATTTGGTCTAGTAAACGATTCAAGGTTGCAAAGCACTGGATCGAGAGTTGTTCAGATAAATCCAAAATGCAATTTCGATTCGTGAATTAATTGTTAGAGGAATGTGTGCTGCTGTAAGATTTGAAGATTTTTAGAAGTGACTGTTCATGTGCAACTGTCCAATCATGAATTGTACACTGCAAGCATTTCTCCTTCAAATGTCCAATTTGCACTGATCAACACCTTGAGAATCTTGAGAGGAATGGCAACTCAGAGACAGCAAGCAGGGAAGCCTGGAAGTTCTTCGAGAGAATGGTAGAGCAATTGCTATGAGTCTACATAGAATCTAAAGTTGAGCGACATGGTTGGCCTTTGCAGGCTGCTACATGAATCTTCTTAAACCTGTTGAGATGGCTTGAAGCTTCTCCAAACAATGCCATGGCCGTTTCATGGCAGTTCACAGGAGAGTTCACAGATTTTGAATGTTCAGCAGAAAAATGGTGGCACTTCCGATCTCTCAACTGCAACACCCAAGCCGGCGGCAGATGCGGAAAGTGCTGCGCCAGCGCCAAAACCAGAGCCCTTTGTTGGGAGGCCACATTGTGATTATTCAGCAATTGTGATTGTATACACACCAACACGAATGACCTATGGCAGGCGCACTGGGCGCTCGCTGAAAGCCCTTGAGAACCTTGAGGGTGGCTCTGCAGAGCCAGAGGCCCCACGGCCAGCACCGCCACGTGAGGAGCTTAGCGACAGGGTTTGATTTTAGATGATTTTAGGGGGTATGGGAGCCCCCCCAAATCCCATGGTTTATCATCGTTTCGAATCATTTCGAATTGTTTCGAATCATTTCCCCATATCAAAGTGGCCACTTCTAAGACTCTGTATGGGTATGTATGGCTCAACATACACCGTATGTCAACGGTTTGATGACAGACTGGGACCTATAGATGTGAGTTGTTGTTAGCAGAAAACGATTTTCTTGAGGGTTCCCCGATTTGACCAACGCCCTTTCTGTATTTGGTCCGCGCATGAGGTGTCGCAGACGGCCTGCGGCGTGTCCTTTGACCATACTTAGCCCGGTATTTATGGCCTTGGGTGCTAGACAAATCTCGTTTGATTGGATGAGTTGCCGTTGAAAATAATTGAAACTAATTAATTGAAACCATTTTTTGGACAAATCTGGTGCAAGTGTGCTGCTCGAGGTTCCATCACAGCTGACTCTCAATCTAGCCAGCCTATTCTAGCGTTTTTGACACTGACTCTAAGGATTGCACACCACACAGTACGCAAATTGCAGTTGCAGAGGCTCCCTGACATTCACAGTCAGTGGCATGCCTGATACAGGGTCAGTGATTTGTAGTGTTGGGGTGTTCTTGAGGGATCGGCGTGAACAGTAACCCAATGAGGCGTGGTGGTGAAGTTTGAACAAACAGATCCAATCCATCCATTATTCGGGTGTATTGATTGTCAAGAATGCCTGAACCGCTTGTTGGCTTTGCACTGGCTCGAGCTCGCTTTCATCTTGCCCTGCCTTGCACCTCGCGCATCGACAAACTCCTTGACTCATTTTCTTCAAACATGGCCCTTCCAATGAAGAAGTCCGTGATGAAGTCTGCCATGAAGTCAATGAAGAAGGCGGCAAAGCCAACGTCGATGAATAAGACTGTGATGAAGAAGAAGAAGGCAGTCAGCAAGATTGCGCGTGGCAAGCGAGCAAAGGCTGCAGTCTTCCTCGGCAGGAAGGAGAAGACTGCATCAGGGCATTCTCGATCTGACCTGATGAAGACCAAGCATGGTCGCATTGTGACCAAAGCAAAGCATGCTCAGGGCAAGAAGGCCTACGCCTACATCTCTGCCTGGACTAAGGCCCTGCAGAAGGCCAGGAAGGAGTTGGGCATCAAGGGATTCTGTGCAGTTAACGGGAAAACTGCTCAGGGCAAGGCCCTTTATGCTAAGACGAAGGCCATCTTCTCTGCCTGAGCAGTACCATGATGTGCCCTGATTGGGGTTGGTGCAGGCATGCTTACGTGGTAGTTCACGGAGCTTTCCTGCATTTGACATTTCGCAATCATCTCAGCATGTATAGCCAATCCTGCTGAGGCAATGACCAGATGCCATGCAGCCACTTGCTGTCTGGACAAAAGCTGAGTTCCGACCTTGCATCTCAACAGGGTCTTCAGTCATTCGGAACCCATATGAACCCATGAGATCCCATGAGCCTGTCGAAGTCCGTGCGCTTGCGAACGGCCCTGATTGCTGATCAGAGGTGCTGTACCACAGTCGGCCACTTATCCATTTGGCCCTGCTGCGAAGCCGCGGAAGAAGGTCCTGGGCTGCTCGGGCGCTCAGAGTGGCGGCATTTCACAAGGTGTGACCTGTCATGTAACTCAGGAGATAATGGAAGTGTTTTTCTTGAATGGTTATTGAATTATATTATATTACTGTATATTATATTATATATAATATATTTATTATTTAATATATTTATATTAGTATTATTATTATCATCATCATGATTATTATTGGATGGGGACAACGCCTTGAGCGGCTCAAGCTTAGGCGTGGATTGTCGCTTTGCTTCTGGAGCGTTTGTCTGCCGCTGGAATCCCCAGAATCCAGTGAGCCTTCCTTTTTGTGAACGTTACTTCGTGGTTGAAGATGGTTGAAGTATATTGAACCATGGGGCAGCCATGGTTGATGATGGTTGATGTATCTTTAACTACAAACTGAGGGCCTGCTGGCGATGGATCTCCGCAGCATGCCAAACAGCCGCGCGCGCCTGTTGGAGGCTGCTGAGGTGCCATATATTCCAAGGTTAATTGCCTGGGCTGAGCATTGCCTATGATTTCATATGATTTCATATGATTTCATGGTTTCATGATCTGAATCATTTGTGTTCATTTTGGCACACACCCTTGACATCTCTTGACTACATACCGTAGCATTGCCCTGCTTGTCATCTGCAGGTCAGCAGGCGACAGAATCTGACGCTCTGGGCTTTGGTGAGGCCAGGCAGTTGGAGAGAGAGAGAAGCTTCAGAGCCCTGTGTAACTGTTGTTACAACAAATTATAAGAGTCTTGGTTGACCAACCACAGCATCGGTGCGACAGTTCACGCTGCCACTTACTTGCTGCGCAATTATGATGAAATTGTTGCACTGGGCTGGGATGAGGTATGGAATGCAACCAGAACAGTTGTCCCGGGTTTGTACAAGAGAATAAGGTGTATGCTGTTCAGTGCTACACCTTGCAAGATTCACCAGTCTGTAGTTTTGTATCGACGGAATGCATCGCTCCATTTTTGCCAAAGGAGTAAGTGACTACAACCCTCACTTGACTTTGAGGATTTCCATTTCTTGAAAGGCCAAAACCTTTCAAACGAAAACATAAGAAGCACGGATTAATACTTGTCTCTTTTGGTGTATCATATAGACGAGAAAGAAGCCTTGGATTCAGATGGATTTTCCACCATCCTTGAATTCAGCAAATGGGGTTGCATTATGTTAAAAACAACAGGCATCTTTAAATTCAGGAGATGGAGTTGCACTTAGGTCTTTGAGCAATGGATCCTTAAATCATCTTAAATCTACAGGAGAGAAACACTGAATTCATTTTTTTTTTTTCGGGAATCCTTTTTTGTTCAGAGCATGTCCCCAAAGAGACGAGAACGGAAAGATGACCAAAGGAATATGAATACACATCGGAAGAACTGATAAATTAAAATAACATGTTGTTCAATATGTAGTGGTGCGCACTCAGTTTAAAGGCACTCATTAAATAGATAAACTGATATAAATTAGATAAATGGCATTGACTTAGATTTAGTACTGGATCAACACGTTTTGATTTTCCATGTTTTGACTACTATATAGTTTATTAAAGATGAAATGAAGATTGTATCACAACAAGTTGTCCCTTCAATCATTATTTTCATCATCAAATTCTGCATGTTTGAAAACACAGCATCTTTCTTTCGACCTCAACCTATTTTACACAAAACACCCTGCTTTGAAGAATTGCACCGTTTTTGTTCCACCCAGAAAAAGATAAACAAGCTCGTGAGATACACCCCCTTCCCTGGATTCAAGTTTTTTCATGTTTTTTTCTCTTCCAGAACAACCTTACGATAGATAAATGCAATACTCGTCAAACACAGGGTAAAAAGACAACAAGAGACACATGTCACATGACCCAAAGAAATTGGCAATCATTTGAGACATCTTGAAGGACATTTCTTTGCATCAACAGAAAGATGCCTTGCATGTTCAAAAATGTCTTGCTCGCCAAAAGGACTTCTCTACCAACCCATAGTTCATTAAGCAAGGGTACTCTGGCTATAAAACTTGCGTACAAACATGGCGCCATCCAGCGCCCAGTTGTGTATCAGATTTGCCAAGAACTTCGATCAAGTACAATTCCAAGAATAAAACACCCAGAAACTGCCAGATTTTCTTGTGAGTTGACCTACAGCCTTTCCCCTCTCTCTTCGAACCTTAACAAGGTCAGAAATTTCAAAGTAGAGGTGGCAAACCCTAGGCAGCGAGTCCTCATATTGAATTCAAGTCGTGTTGAGGAAGCTCCGTAAGGTCTTCACGTTATCAACTGGACTATTGGACCATTGCAAATCCTGACGAAGACATGTCAACTCTGATGCGTGCCATGTCGTAAAAGATCGGCTTGTCATGGCTTGTCGTGCTATTGTCCTTTGATTGGTTCCCCTTCCTTCCAAAAGCATCCAAAAGCCCATTCATAGGTAATTTTATGTAATTTTCCCATTGAAAATATCGAAACCTCCATTGCAATGGGGATTTCCCATGTTTCTCCATGCAGAGGGTACTCAGGGTACTCGTTCTCCATGGCATCCAGGTCACCTGCGTTCGAGAAGTTTCTAAAACGTCCAACCGACGTGTTGGTGTGGGAGCCCAGCGTTGTGGAAAGGTAAAAAAGTCGCTTGAGACAGCAACACTTGCAACAACAATATATTATAATTATAATATATATA